CTCTTATTGATCCAGTGTTACTACGGGAGGAAACCTAAACTAAACTAACTTTATTTATACTGGATAGCTCTATCAGTTCTAAACTGTTCTCCCTAGAGGTCCAGTAAAGATCATCTCTTATTGATCCAGTGTTACTACAGGAGGAAACCTAAACTAAACTAATTTTATTTATGCTGGATAGCTCTATCAGTTCTAAACTGTTCTCCCTAGAGGTCCAGTAAGGATCATCTCTTATTGATCCAGTGTTACTACAGGAGGAAACCTAAACTAAACTAACTTTATTTATACTGTATAGCTCTATCAGTTCTAAACTGTTCTTCCTAGAGGTTCAGTAAGAGTCATCTCTTATTGATCCAGTGTTACTACAGGAGGAAACCTAAACTAAACTAACTTTATTTATGCTGAATAGCTCTATCAGTTCTAAACTGTTCTTCCTAGAGGTCCAGTAAGGATCATCTCTTATTGATCAGTGTTACTACAGGAGGAAACCTAAACTAAACTAACTTTATTTATACTGGATAGCTCTATCAGTTCTAAACTGTTCTCCCTAGAGGTCCAGTAAGGATCATCTCTTATTGATCCAGTGTTACTACAGGAGGAAACCTAAACTAAACTAACTTTATTTATACTGGATAGCTCTATCAGTTCTAAACAGTTCTTCCTAGAGGTCCAGTAAGGATCATCTCTTATTGATCCAGTGTTACTACAGGAGGAAACCTAAACTAAACTAACTTTATTTATACTGGATAGCTTTACAGTTCTAAACTGTTCTCCCTGGAAGTCCAGTAAGAACCGGTCAGAGAGGCGAACGACACATGCCCAGCAACACCGCAAACTCTGCGAAATAGAACCTCTTTAAGTAATTTTAAATCAATTTTTAAACCTACCAATTTATTGCAGTTACGGATGCAAGCTTCAGTGTGGAAAGACTCGCTAGTATAGCAAAAGGTCTTGTAAAACAGTTAACTGATGTTAATGCTGAAAAGAGCCCTGACGGTTAGTTTAAAATATTTTATATACACTTATGCATGCATCAGTTGTTCCGTCGGTGAATCAACCATTCTTTGTATTTTAGATCAGTACTCAAACATGGACCAGTTCACCGTAGAATATATTTTATCAAATATACAAGTGGCTCATTGTCTCGACCGTATTGAACTTATTGCTGCGTCACATCAGTTGCCTGATCAGATTAGAAGTCTTGGCCAGGTAATACATTATGTAACACAAACTAGTTTGACTCTACCAAGCATCGGAGGTTTTCTCTATACAGATACTACGATTTCCTCTAGGGAGAACAGTCTAGAACTGATAGAGCTATCCAGTATAAATAAAGTTAGTTTAGGTTTCCTCCTGTAGTAACACTGGATCAGTAAGAAATTATCCTTACTGGACCTCTAGGAAGAACATTTTAGAACTGATAGAGCTATCCAGTGTAAATAAAGTTAGTTTAGTTTAGGTTTCCTCCTGTAGTAACACTGGATCAATAAGAGATGATCCTTTCTGCACCTCTAGGAAGAACATTTTAGGACTGATAGAGCTATCCAGTGTAAATAAAGTTAATTTAGTTTAGGTTTCCTCCTGTAGTAACACTGGATCAGTAAGAGGTGATCCTTAGTGGACCTCTAGGAAGAACAGTTTAGAACTGATAGAGCTATCCAGTATAAATAAAGTTAGTTTAGTGTAAGTGTTCTCATTTCAGGTGAAGTTGATCATTGTGGAAAATATTGCTAATCCATTTCGATGTGAATTTGCAAGTCATGCTTTACGTGGGAGAATTTTGAGTGAACTGGCACAACGTTTTCTAAAGATTGCTTACGAGCATGACCTAGCTGTCGTGTTTACGAATCAAATGACAACGACCAGGGCTGGTAAACTTGTTCCGTGTTTAGGTAAAGGAATATAGAAGACGTTTCTTTGGGAAGGTTCTTATTTATGTGTGTGTGTGTGGGGGTGGTGGTTTACCAGTTTTGACTAGCAGAAATGTTTGAATGGTTCAAATTTTTGTACAAATTTATTTTCAGGGCAGTATTGGGGACATTCATGTTCCAATAGGGTGATATTGGCTAGGGAAGGGAAATATAGGTATGTTGAACACTTGTATACATATATATTTTTTTCTGCGATGTGTTTCAGTATGGGTCAGTTATCGAATACTTAGCAGAACAATATCGTGTGAATCAGATGTTCCATTGTCTTTTCCTTGTTTTGAAAATCCCACTGTTCTCGATGTCATCCACTCATTGTTTTGATATATATTACAGCAAAGAGCCTAGTGTTTGTATTCTTTTGTATTTAATTGTCATATTTTCTCATTTTTTGTCATTTAACTGCAGGATGGCTCATCTTAAAAAATCATCATGGGGAAAAGAGACCACAGTGTCTTATATAATTACTGTAAGTCATATAAAGCATTTCACCTGACTAGTGTTAGTAATCGTTAGTGCATGTGTCTATCTCAAACTCATCAATAATTCATTAATAAATTAGCCAACCATACCTGGTGAAGTATATTGATCCAGTCCTAGGAACTTGGACTGAATCAAAATTAATTCACCTCACTTTAAGTAGTGATATATTGGTATGAAATGTCATTTCAAATCTTCCAATTCGGACTGGCCTTCGGCCTCGCCTCGGACGTGATCAAATTGCGCGGACCTGAAATCTAGTCCAATCCTCATAGTCGGACTTGAAATATTACTTCGCCTCTGTGACTGGACGATTCCCGCACTATTTATATAATCACGTAGTTGTCCGAGAGTGTTGCCTGATTGACTAGACCAAACACTACAGGGCTGGATACTCCGGGATGAAACAGTTAACAGTGGACATCCAGTTCAAATAAAGTTAGTTTAGTTTAGGTTTTCTTCTGTAGTATAACACTTGGTCAATAAGAGATGATCTTTACTGGACCTCTAAGGAGAACAGTTTAGAATTACTGATGGAGCTATCCAGTACAAATAAAGTTAGTTTAGTTTAGGTTTCCTCCTGTAGTAGCACTGGATCAATAAGAGATGATCCTTTTTGGACGTCTAGGGAGAACAGTTTAAAACTGATAGAGCTATCCACTGTAAATAAAGTTAGTTTAGTTTAGGTTCTCTCCTGTAGTAACAAGTGATAAAGCTAAAGTTCTAGTAAGTTCTAGTATAAATCAAGTTAAACAGTGAGTCTCTATTCTTGCAGGAGGAAGGCGTAAGAAGTGCGCCAGAGTCTGTTCAGTGTCGCCCAGGCAGTAGTTCGTGTATGATGAGGTTCGATGATATCTTGATGAGGATCTGTGCGAGCTTCTAGGCTCGGTGACTCTTGTGCTTGCTCGGAGACACAACAGAACATTTCATTTGGGAGTCCGAAGTAAGAGTTTGTGTATGACATGAGTTTTGTTTGTTTACTTGTATATTCAAGAGCAATGATAGACTCTTTTGAGAAATAGTCTCGAACGGTGTGTGCCAGTGTAGGTAGCGACCAGCCTCGTACCCAGGCGCAAATAACTAAAAATAGGCACGCTACAGTGTTTCTATATAGATCAGTGGCTAAGTTGAGCGCGCGGGGTTAGCCACTGATCTATATAGAAACACTGTAGTGTGCCTATTTTTAGTTATTTGCGCCTGGCTGACGACTGCTATGACGAAGGTCCGTGATTTGGTGAAGCCAAAATAGTTTTTCTGAGTTATGAGCAGAAATACTTGATCCCAATTAGCTAAAGTCTTGAAATTTCTACACCAAATAGCGTTTTTCAATAGCTTCAGTTTCATATACAGCACAGCGTTCAGTTTTGAGTATTTCTGCTCATAACTCAGAAAAACTAAAATGCACTGGCTTCAATCCCCCCCACCTGAGTTAGCCTTCCAGTTTACTTATAGTGGAGTTTACTTATAGTTTGGAGTGAAGGCCTGTCGACTGTCGTTCGCTCGAAACGTCGAAATTCTGCTTATATAGTAGTAGGGCCGTAGCAACCGGGGAGGGCTGGGGGGCTTCAAAATCATGCAGACCTTTATAATTTAATCCATGCAAAACTGCAAAGAATGAAGATATTACCCATACTTTCCTGCAAGTTATCCAAAATATAGTTAATTAAATACGCTTTCGCCCATTTAGTACTACTAAATTGTAAATTTTGACATATTAAAACACTGTTTTCTGACCATCAGAATTTTGTCCAATCTTCCCCAAAGTCCAGGAATTGGCATTTCAGAGACTCTAAATTTAAAAATTTCCTCGGGCCTTCGACCCTCGCTTGCAGCCCCCAATCAAAAAGAGCCTCCTACGGCCCTGAGTAGTATCTTTCTCAATCCACGGCTGGCTTTTAAGAAATGTTATTTAGGTTAAAAATATTTATATCGTGATATATTTAAAGAGTAAAGATACATAATATGTAATGGTATGTGTACAGATATTTTTGTATTGGCGAGTCTAGTTCATGTTAGATTATATGAAAATTATTTTAATTTGAGCTGTAACTGTGTTTTTGTGCGAACTGTGAAGTTTTGGCCTAAAAGTAAACGAGGGCTAAAAACAGCCTTTTCGAGTGCAAATGGGGGGAGGGGTTGTCGAAAATTTGAAGGTTTTGGCGGAAATTTAGGAGGCTTTGTCCCCCCCCCCTCCCCACAGGAAAAAGTGAATTTGCAATTCGCTCTACAGTTTCAGATTCAAGTTTCAGATTCAAGTTTCAGATTCAAGTTTCAGATTCAAGGTTCAGATTCAAGGTTCAGATTCACATTCATATTCAAATTTGATTCTGATTATGAGTCTGAAAATGAATCTGAAACTGTGGAGCGGATCGCAGTGAATTTCCGCCACTGCTTTCTCGCGAAGAATTTCCCCGTCGTGGTTTGTGTATTTCTACATGTCTGTTTATTTCAAAACTTCAGAGAAGTAAACTCCTATCGATCCAGACAAGATCTCTAAAGAAATATTTCTAAATTAATAGACAAGCTGTGAGGAAGTTTGGGTTAACCTAGGGTTAAACTAACCAGCTTTGAACAACCAGCCCTGGGTAATTAATAAACCAACACACTGCTGTTGGTTGAAAAAATAATAATAGGGTGTATTATTATGTCTTTAAAATACTCATTAATAATTCAGGAGAAAACACAAAGAATAATCATAAGCGTGTCGTTTCTTTATATGTGATAAAAAATCATGTTAATTTACATAAACTTTAGCTTTGATTTTCTCGGTTTAGACAAAGTTTATTTTAAAAATTACTTTGCCAATGAACTCGTATAAGATATGAGTCGTTTTTTAAGCCATTTAAAGCACTTGTATATCTGATCAAACACTCCTACGCGTGCTTTAAATAGTACGTAATCTGCACGGAGTTCCCTAACCAGGGCTTTCAAAATAAGCCGGCGGCCGCCGGAGCTCCGACAGGTGCTACTTTGTTTAGTACTTGAAAATAATGAAATATCAATTCTGCTCTCCTTTTCCCACTCTAAGCTTTCAAGTTATTTTTCATCAACCTGGTCCACGCACTATTTTCTTAAAATGATTTAGTTATTTGCCATCTTAAATCTTGAAGTTATCTTCGGTTGAAGAATGAAAGTGGTGATACAATAACTTGGTTACAGAGCTCAGTTGTGTTGCTATCTAATCAATATACACTAGTTAATTTGGATGACTTTAAGGCCCCCTAGACCGCCCCCTCCCAACAGCCGCCTACTTTATCAAAACAGACACCTGCTCAGAGTAATTCTGAAAGCCCTGCCTAACCTTATTCTATTGACTCTGATACCAAACAGGCCTTGACAACTTGTGACATATCTGTATCACGTGGTTAAAAAACAATAATGAGGTCCCTAACCTTTGTACCTCTGGATTTTGCGCGAATCATGATGGTGCAGAAATAGAGACAAACAGAAGGCCGACTTCTTGGTTTTCCTATGATTTTGGCCCATGGCCCTGCGCTTACGAGAGACATATCAGGGATAATATTCAAAATGCTGGACGTCCAGGGGGTGAATGCCTCCCATAAATGGCGAGGGCGAGCCAGTGGGGCGGGCGCTCTAGTGAGCCGTTAGTCCAGTCCCAGACCCTATTCTCGCCACACGGCGCGGCGGAGAAGGAGGGTCCAGAAGAATTTGCATGCGCATGCGTCAACTACCACCACACATATGTGGAGGTCGCCAGGTCGCTAAGCTCTGTTTACTGTGGGGAAAATCCGCAATGTCAAAGGAAAGTTCTGATACTCTTGCAGCGCTGATTGAGAACAAGTTTCTTCATATTTTTGGCAGAGAATTTGTTGAAGCCGTTAAGTTTGCCATGGAAATGTGTAAATATAATTTTTTGCCGAAGTTTGAGCAATTGCAAGCGATCTATTACCTGTCTCGCGGTAAAGATGTATTCGTTCATCTGAGAACTGGTTTCGGAAAGTCGCTGATTTACACGCTCTTTCCATATGTTTGCGATGCTCTGCGATCGTCACCAAACAACGATTGCCGTTCATCTATCGTCGTTTTGATTTCACCACTAATTTCCCTCATGGATGATCAGATGGCTAAAATGGCCGAACGAGGAATACATAGCGTCAAGCTCACCGATCTTAAAGACCGACAAGTTGAGGACCTTCGACGTGGAAAATCGAACATCAAAATCGCTTTGTTATCCCCTGAGGCATTTACCAGTTTGACTGTAAGGGAGACTCTGAGGGAACTGAAAGAGCATATTGTTTGTGTGGCAATTGATGAGGCACATTGTGTACTACAATGGTAGGTCTATGCTAGATATTTTAATAATTTAATAAATAAATTAGCCAAAGTGCTTTCCCTTGACTACAGAGCCTCATTCTATTGCAAGAGAATTTGGCTAATTGTCATATGTTTATACTAAGTTTTAAAGGATTATTGAAATTATTGAAAATGTGGCGAGATAACCAACGATTGGATAGGGCAAAATTTTTTTACACTTTGGTTCATCACGTTATATAATTAGCCTTGCAAATAAGTAACTTTATACAGTAACCTACTCTGAACTCACTTGATTTATTTTAAACTGTAGTAAATGTTTGACAGGGTGAGGAAAGATATGTCGTCGTGCTCACACTTGATGTTGTGTTTGCTGCATTAGAATGGGATGGCTAAATGAACATGATAACAAACATTTAGATAATTACACCCTCGAAGTCATATAAAGAAACACAAGATGATGAAACTACACAGTAAATACGTTCGGTTATCTCCTCTACAATGTATACTACTTCTTCATATTTTTGGTTTAATGGCGTGAATTGTCTGTAATAAGTTTATGGATTATTCGTCCTAATTTTGTGTTAAAATATTAGTGCAAAAATTATAATAATTAACACACCCAAGGCTGCAAGACCAGGAGTAAAGCACTTTATGACGACCACATTATATTTATATAAAATTAAAGTGTTTGCAGTAAAAGAAAGCTTGTCTATTTTTGCGTATCAAATAGAAATTTATTTAATTACCCTATCTTTTGTCACAATACAATATTTGTCACAATAACTCTTATTTGTTACAGCGATGCAAAATTGCAATTATCGTACGTGTAATTTGACAAGTTTAACTTTCTAGCTATAACAAATAAAGTATTTTTAAACAGTCTCACTCGGACAATATTGGGATATCATACCAGCAATATTTAGTAAACACCGATTTCAGTTAGTATATACATAGTTGCATATTTCTTCGGCAAAAGACTGGTCTTTTTATAATAAAATTTAAATAATGTCGTCGTACCTGTGCTTTGTCGTTGGAAAACTGCAATGATCTGGCTGAAAATCTACAATTTCTTTCGTTAGGTCTCGATGTTTTCGATGGTGGAGATCTAATCGAATTTGGCGAGGATAG